TAAAAACCTCGTAAGAGCAAAGAGCTTAAATTAGAAACCGATTTCAAAATTCCCGCAACTTGCCGTTTTCGATCAGGACTATCAACATCGGCGTAGCCTGACACCGGAATAGTTATTTCTGGTGCAGCATCTCGGATTGGGTATAGCTGACTGACACCAGCTAGGAATCCGGCAATAGCCATGCCAGTTTCCTAGGTCCTTCTCAAAAGTATTGTTCTGCCACTGGCAGGGCTCGATAGTGTGCCTCGAGGCATTATCGGACTACCAAGTCCCATAATCGATCTGTGAACTGCAATTCATCTAATGTAACTCCATTCGCAGAGAAAACAGTGCCTTTAAAATATTGCCCCTTCGTCAGTTTACGTTAGTAAACTGCGAGCTTAAAGTACTTGCCATTACCTAAAGAGTATGCCGGATGTGAAACTGAGTTTCGTCCACTTCCCACCTGGATAAATGTTTTTTGTTTCATTCTTTTAGTTCACGATAGAGATTGATGGTGTCTGGGCAACAATTCAAGACTTCTACCTGCAAACCGATATTTATTTCGAAGGGTTTCTCACAAGCGACTTCGATGCAGTCTGTTTTGAGGACCACGAAAGTCGGATCTCCCAACACATTTCCATGTCGGGTTTTGACCCCAAGGGTAGGTTCCTCAACAAGCTCGTCTTATTTTTGTGACCGCATGTGAGTTAATTTCAAATGATTTCCTCTTATTGGTAAGTCCCCATCTGCGGTCAGTTCATCGATGATGCCGATGTCTCTTCGATTGGAATTTTGAGGGTCCACATGAGTGGATGCCGAGATGTCTGCCATCAGCGATATACAATGCTCCCATGTGCACGATGTGTCGATCTCGCTGAAGAGCACATACTTAGCTGCCCCGCCGCTTCCCACGACAGCCTTGACTATGGTGCGGAAAGCTCGTCAATTCTGATTGGTCCATATATGGGGGAAGTCCATTGGCTCTTTCTGATCAAGTGGATTGCACAGAACACAGCCAGTTGATGGGGATGCTGTTACTGCAGACAGCCTGTTCGTGAGAATGACTTGTTGCTCGTGAATACAGTTTCCACGTGGTCAATTGTTTTCTTTTTCTATCCCCTGTTGTCGGACAAGCAGCACAGGGTGTCCGCCAGAAATATTCTAAAAAGATGGATTTGGAAATTTCTTGCTATTTTAACAAGGGATCCATTCAATTACAGTATTTCTCGGATACTAGTTAATGTTGGTATATGTATGAAGCTCATGGTTTGAAAAGAAGTTTTTTTTATTTTCAGCCGAAGTAAAAATGCGCTAGAACTCGGACACATTCAGATAGTCAATTATTTAAAGCCAGCACAACGATTTGGACAAAATAACGAAGTTTTCGACGCAGGTCATCTTTGGACCTGAGGGGAATGTGTGATGAACAGTGCGCCTTTTTAAACGTGCCAAAAATCGATAACGATTCGTCATTAACAGTCAATAGCATGTTTTGGTGGTTGCGTTTGTTCCAGACTTTTTGAATGCCATTAATTCTGACGAATCATGCGTCAACAGGCACGTTGGTTTGGATTTAGTGTATACCAAACTCAAAAAAGTGTGCAAAAAGCGCTATTGACCAATAATGACGAATCATTATTGATTTTTTGGCATGGTTAAAGATGCGCACTGCTTTTCACTCATTTCCCTCAAGTCCGATGAAGACTTGGTGTGCTAGCGTCGAAAATTTACAATATAGTTTGTTCCTGTTTCCCAAAGAATCTTTTCTACCAGATTATATTTCTTGGGATGCCTATTTTCAAATTCATACAATAACGAAGTCCTCTTGAAAATGACACTGATGTTAACCTGCCTTGTTATGGTAAGAACATGCACACACTAAATGAAGGACAGTTGTGGCCGACGGCCAACGATGTTGGTTCCTTACCCTATGCTCACTGCGTCCATGTCACGTGCTTTTACAGGCGGCTGTTTTTCCGCCCACTGACGTAAAGACCACCTGACCGTTATTCACTCGCACACTTCTTCTGTCTTTTATCCGTGACCTGGGATTCGGTCAGAGGATTGTAGTGCTCCGAGTATAACCAAAAATTAAATCGCTATACACATAATACGTGACCTAATTGGATTACTTTGACCATTGCGCCTCTAAGGCTATTATAAATAATTCCACTTTTGAGTTGACCCAACTGTGAAGAACTCGAGGCGTTCGGCGGGATATGAACCCGCATAGTAGAGAAGGCCTTTACCGGAAGCCAACGCTCTAACTACTGAGCTACAAGCGCTTCACCTGGCGCCATAAATTTAATCACACTTGGGTCGATATTACTCGCCCAACTTAACCGCTCGTATGGAGTCCACCAATACGGAACAGCAAGCTGACCGCCCAAGCAGGATTTCCTAAGCAGTCATCTAGAATCCACCAGAATGACTACTAGGTTGACTTAATTATTAAGACATTTGGCAGATTCGCTTAGACGTGAGTTCATTGGTTGATGAATGCTCACCGATTGGTAACGAGAGTTCTGTTCTCCCTTGGAGCTCACTCTCGATCACATCGTCCCCCTTGAAATGGCAACTCAAATTTTCCGCTTGTTTTCGTCACTAATGGCATTCTGTATTTTCAGCCACGTTGCGGCGACCAAAGGGGTTTGTGGGTAAGCTCCAAGACAAAAAGATACAAATGAGTACTGTAACCAAGCACTGACAAATATTTAACGAAACGGTCCCCATTCACCGTTGATAAAAACGATTACGCCAAAGAGGTAACATTAGAAGATCTTAACTTAGCCAAATTTGTTACCAAAAACTGCGACTGTAAAATCCCGAACAATCGTGGATGTATATGTGTCACAAATTTACATTCGACGTTAAGTCCTCGAAAACGGTTCTCACATAGTGTTTAGATGATGTCATTATTGTAATTTAACGATATGCATGTAACAAAAGTACTCTGTGAATGAAGATTTTAAAAAATGGACGCTAAATTTGTAAAAGCCTATCTCGCAACATAGGCATTACGTGCCATAAGTATCTAGGGGATGGATACGCAGTAAATCGCAGTTCAGGAACCACAGAAACGCAGAATTAAGTTTTACATATTTGGGAAGAACTCCACTGTTTTAAAAACAGTACAAGGCCCTCCCCCAGCTACGAACATGGAGGAAGACGCAATCGTCTACAAAAGTTTTATACGGTATTATATTTTCCTACTGAATTTTAGCAGACTTCTATTAAGTAGTATAGGATATTCGTTTCTCCGAATACAGTTTGCAAATGCGGTTAGCAAGGCGTTAATTCAGGGTCTTGCTTAATGCCATGTCAGGAGTCATGCAGGTTAACGCTGCCCTTTAAATTTCCTAGTGATCTGTCTGACAGATTATGAACACATTCACGTTCTGCCTATAATTCATAGCTTCAAGTAGCGTCCGCCTAATGCTCATCGCACTTCACATGACAATCTATCTAAACTGCCACGCCTAGTAGTAATAAAACGTCACTTGGCCCTGACAGAGGCCTTTAACAGTTTAAACATCCTTTTTTTCCAATTCAGGTATCTTTGGCGCCATCAAAGTGGTCGCAACCTTGCAAGTCTTTGGAACTGACGAAAACGTTTATGGTTCGATTCAGTGGCTGGACTCAAGACTACAGCGAACTATCTCGACCAGTCTCATTTCCTCCCGTATTATTCCTCTTGAACCGGTTAGTATTTTGAGGTGTATTCTTTCAGTTGTCTAATGCCACTGTATGATATCGAAATCCCCATTGTCAGGGGACGCGTCCGTGACTGAACCCGGACAGCAAGACGGCAAGAGTTACTGCGAATTTGCATGAAAATTCAGTAGTGGAACTCGGGTTGATCGTGTATCGCGCATGATGCTACTTTTCGCATGTCCTTTAAGTCCGCCTATTCAGATGGGCGTATAGCGTCGCCGACAGAATGCTGAAGTTTTGACAACACATACCAACTTCATTTTACTCTCAAGTATGTCCACCGTATGCTTCAAACAGGGTGGTGAAGACACAATGACTTCCGCGTGAATTAGTTAGTAGATACAGCATGGCGATTGCTGCAAGATACATTCCGCAATTTGAAAAAGACCGGTAATCACTCGCAAATCAACACTGAGTAAGGTTGCAAAACTGTTTATCATGCAGTCCAATTTCAATTCATTTCAGTCACTCTAGGATGCCGACTCTGCGCGTCGGTACATGCACTCTGCGTGGGTAGACCGGCGGTCTCGCGTAGGAGCGCCTCGTTAGGGCGGCCTGAATTTTGAGTTAAGCTGGGCCGTAACAGGTAGTGTTGCCCGTGATTCTACTTTTCGCATGTCCTTTAAGTTTGCCTATTCAGATAGGCGTAAAGCGTCGTCGGGAGAGTGCCGAAGTTTTGACAACACATACACACGGCAGTTCGACCGCTGGTTTCAAGTATGTCACCCGTATGCTCCAAGCAGGGTGGTGAAGACATAGCGGCTTCCGCGTGAACTAGTCAGTACGTGGTTAGTGATAGTGATAGTAGACTTTCACAGCATCTACCTCACTCTCTCGCTTTTCCCTCAACCCCCACCCCTTCCTAGTATAAATACAGAGTCCGGAAAACTGGAGACGGGATCGGGCGCAGATGTGTGCCATTATGCTCGGAATTCGTTATCGGCACGCTATCCGAATAAAGCCTGCCCATCCCCGATCTGGCCACCATCATGGTAAAGCGCCTTTACCACATGACCCATTTAGGGGCACACACATACAGAACAGCAGAAGAATATTTACAGGAGAGACCTAAACAGGTTTTGCAGTCTTGTGCAATGCCTTTGATCCCAAAACGTGTCAACAGAGCATTAAATGGCAGCAGAGTGTCTACGTACAGAGTCAAGATTGCTGGTAGCTGCCATCCTTACTTCGTTATGGCCTGAACCTCAGTGCACAGATACAATGAAATAAGAATTCATGCTTCTGCAAAGGTGATGGGTAAAAGAAAATTGCGCTGGTAACAGTTCATTTTATGTTCCCAGATAGCGTGCGAAAATCCCATCCTTCTATTACATGGCACAGATGTTACTTAAGATGAAATCGATGGGGCTTATCAGGAGAAATAAGTGGGTTTACTTGGTGAAACAGCCAGTTGGAGACTTTGTAGTTGGGTGCATCGATTGAGGATACTATCGGTCGCAGTGGAATGCCGGTTTTATGGACCTTTGGAATTCCATATATTTTAGCAATAGTGCATTTATCCTGTTTTAACGATTTGGCGAGAATGTTTGAGATCAACTTCTTTCTTGTTAAGCGTTTCAGTGTTTTGTCAATGTTAGAAGTTTTTGATTTTGTGGGCATCGCTGGGCAGAAGTCT